GGAGTGGGCAAATCTACTGGGGGGGCTGCTGTGATCCAAGTAGCCAACGCAATCAAAGACCTGCTGATATCAACGGTAGTGACTCTGGGAAACGTGCAGGTCATAGTGGATGACTTTGCTGCAGTGGGATTCCCAAACTGTGGTGGGGCAACAGACGGAACCCAGATCCCTATCTTGTCACCGGAGCACCAAGCCACCAAGTACATAAACCGCCAGGGGTACTTTTCAATGCTGCTGCAAGCCCTGGTGGATCACAAGGGACGTTCCACTAACATCAACATGGGATGGCCGGGAAAGGTCTGTGATGCCCGCATCTTCAGGAACTAGGGTGACCAGATGTCCTGATTTTATAGGGACAGTCCCGATTTTTGGGTCTCTTTCTTATATAGGCTCCTATTACCCCCACCCCCCGTCCTGATTTTTCACATTTGCTGTCTGGTCACCCTATCAGGAACTCTGGTCTGTTCAAAAGCTGGAGGAAGGGACTTTCTTCCCGGAACAGAAAATAACCATTGGGGATGTTGAAATGCCTATAGTTATCCTTGGGGACCCAGCCTACCCCTTAATGCCATGGCTCATGAAGCCGTACACAGGCAGCCTGGACAGTAGTCAGGACCTGTTCAACTACAGGCTGAGCAAGTGCTGAATGGTGGTGGAATGTGCATTTGGACATTTAAAAGCGTGCTGGTGCAGTTTACTGACTGGGATAGACCTCAGCGAAGCCAATATTCCAATTGTTATTGCTGCTTGCTGTGCGCTCCACAATATCTGTGAGAGTAAGGGGGAGACATTTATGGTGGCGTGGGAGGTTGAGGCAAATCGCCTGGCCACTGATTACGCGCAGCCAGACACCAGGGCGGTTAGAAGAGCACAGCAGGGCGCGGTGCGCATCAGAGAAGCTTTGAAAATGAGTTTTGTGACTGGCCAGGCTACGGTGTGAAACTTCTGTTTGTTTCTCCTTGATGAACCCTCCGCCCCCACCCCACCCCCCGGTTCACTCTACTTCCCTGTAAACTAACCACCCTCCCCTCCCCCCTTCGAGCACCACTTGCAGAGGCAATAAAGTCATTGTTACTTCACATTCATGCATTCTTTATTAATTCATCACACAAATAGGGGGATAACTGCCAAGGTAGCCCGGGAGGGGTGGGGGAGGAGGGAAGGAAAAGGACACACTGCAGTTTAAAACTTTAACTCTTATTGAAGGCCACCCTTCTGATGCTCGGGCAATCATCTGGGGTGGAGTGACTGGGTGGCCGGAGGCCCCCCCCCACCGCATTCTTGGGCGTCTGGGTGAGGAGGCTATGGAACTTGGGGGAGGAGGGCTGTTGGTTACACAGGGGCTGTAGCGGCGGTCTCTGCTCCTGCTGCCTTTCCTGCAGCTCAACTATACGCTGGAGCATATCAGTTTGATGCTCCAGCAGCCGGAGCATCGACTCTTGCCTTCTGTCAGCAAGCTCACGCCACCTATCCTCTTCAGCCCGCCACTTGCTCTGTTCATCCCGCAATTCAGCCCGCCACTTCTTCTCTCGTTCATATTGTGCTTTTTTGCACTCTGACATTGACTGCCTCCACGCATTCTGCTGTGCTCTGTCAGCGTGGGAGGACATCTGGAGCTCCAAGAATGTATCATCCCGAGTCCGCCGTTTTCTCCTTCTAATCTTCACTAGCCTCTGTGAAGGAGAAACATTTGCAGCTGGTGGTGGAGAAGGGAGAGGTGGTTGAAAAAGACACATTTTAGAGAACAATGGGTACACTCTTACACGTTAAATTTTGCTGTTCAGATTACACAGCACATGTGCTTTCGTTACGAGGTCGCATTTTTCCTCTTATATTGAGGGCCTGCCGGTTTGGTGTGAGAGATCACTCACGCAGTGCCAGGCAACAGATTTCGGCTTGCAGGCAGCCATGGTAAGCCACAGTCTTTTGGCTTTTTTAACCTTCTTAACATGTGGGAACTGTTTCAAACAGTAGCACCCTCATTTCCCAGACCAAGCACCCATTGGGTTGGCCATTTAAAAGGGGTTTGCAATGCAAAAGGAGGGGCTGCGGTTTCTGGGTTAACATGCAGCACAAGCCCAACTACCCCTTCTTCCCCACACACCCAATTCTCTGGGATGATCACTTCACCTCTCCCCGCCCACCGACTGGCTAACAGCGGGGAACATTTCTGTTCAGTCGAGCAGGAATGGGCACCTCTGAATGTCTCCTTAATAAAATCACCCCATTTCAACCAGGTGACCATGAATGATATCACTCTCCTGAGGATAACAGAGATAAGGAATGGATGTTGTCTGCATGCCAGCAAACACCAGGACCATACGCTGCCATGCTTTGTTATGCAATGATTCCAGACTACGTGCTACTGGCCTGGTGTGGTAAAGTGTTCTACCATGGCGGACGGGGTAAGGAAGCCCTCCCCAGAAACCTTTTACAAAGGCTTTGGGAGTATATGAAGGAGAGCTTTCTGGAGATGTCCCTGGAGGATTTCCGCTCCATCCCCATACACGTTAACAGACTTTTCCAGTAGCTGTACTGGCCGCGATTGCCAGGGCAAATTAATCATTAATCATTAAACACGCTTGCTTTTAAACCATGTGCAATATTTACAAAGGTGCACTCACCAGAGGTCCCTTGTGTGCCCTCAGGGTCTGGGAGCATGCCTTGGGTGAGTTTGGGGGTTACTGGTTCCAGGTCCAGGGTGATAAACATATCCTGGCTGTTGGAGAAACCGGTTTCTCCGCTTCCTTGCTGTGAGCTATCTTCATTGTCGTCTTCATCTTCTTCCTCGTATCCTGAACCTGCTTCCCTGTTGCGTGATTCTCCATTGATGGAGTCAAAGCACATGGTTGGGGTAGTGGTGGCTGCACCCCCTAGCATGGCATGCAGCTCCGTGTAGAAGCGGCATGTTTGCGGCTCTGCCCCGGACCTTCCCTTTGCCTCTCTGGCTTTGTGGTAGGCTTGCCTTAGCTCCTTAATTTTCACACGGCCCTGCTGTGCGTCCCTGTTATGGCCTCTGTCCTTCATGGCCTTTGAGACTTTTTTTCTAATATTTTGCCATTTCGTTTACTGCTACGGAGTTCAGCTAGCACTGATTCGTCTCCCCATATGGCGAGCAGATCCCGTACCTCCCGTTCTGTCCATGCTGGAGCTCTTTTGCGATCCTGGGACTCCATCATGGTTACGTGTGCTGATGAGCTCTGCGTGGTCACCTGTGCTCTCCACGCTGGGCAAACAGGAAATGAAATTCAAAAGTTCGCGGGACTTTTCCTGTCTACCTGGTCAGTGCATCTGAGTTGAGAGCGCTGTCCAGAGCGGTCACAGTGAAGCACTGTGGGATAGCTCCCGGAGGCCAATAACGTCGAATTCCGTCCACACTGCCCCAAATCCGACCCGCAAAGGCCGATTTTTAGCGCTAATCCCTTCATCGGAGGTGGAGTAAAGAAACCAGTTTAAAGGGCCCTTTAAGTCGGAAAAAGGGCTTCGTCGTGTGGACGTGTCCAGGCTTAATTCAATTTAACGCTGCTAAATTCGACCTAAACTCGTAGTGTAGACCAGGCCTTTGTGTGTGGTAAACCAGGTGTAAATCTCGAACACACTAACTGGCTGTGTGTACCCTGCCACTATGCAGTAAAATTTACCTAGTATGCAATGACATACTACTCTTTGAAAGAGGAGCAGATCAGTGTGAACTGAGAAACATTTAGTACACGGCAGCAAGGTCCATATGGCTAGTTAGTGTGCAGCACTCTAATGTGCTGTAGATTTACACCCTGGTTTGCCATGCATTCATTCTCTTTTAAGGCAAGTCCTTTATAGTTCCTTCAGAGCCCTGGATCATAAATCTGTATTCCCAGCCCATCCTCACAATTCCCCTTGATTGCAGCAGGAGTTGTGGATGCCCAGCATTTATGAAAAATCAGGCACATGGTAATGAAGGCACCTACCATTAGAGAGAGCGAGAGATAGTGGCCCCCGTAATTCTTTTAAAAACATTTACGTTCCCTCACACACTTTCTGTAACTCAGGGTAATGTGCCCACCTCCTGGGGAGAACCTTTACACCACACCATGTAGTATGTGTAGGGACTGACTTTTTTTTTTTAATATTGTGATTTTTATTACATCTTAAAATTTTCAGAAACACCTTGTACCAACTGTCACAGTTCCTGAGGTAACTGCATCTCTGATCCCTTCATGATCTCCTTGAAGGCACCCTATATAGGTTTCAGACCTCCAGCCGTTGTCTTTCTTGGGGAGGAGTCCCATGACACTCTCCCTCTAGACTGTGGATTTAAGCTGCAATTCTTCCTGCCCTTTGGTTTGGTTTTATGTCCAATTGAAATACAGTTTAAAGAAATTGAATTCATGGGAATAGCAAGCCTCACTTCAGTTCAACACCTGCAACCTTGTTCTCTCACGGGCCATGACAGGGTTAACCAGTGACCATCCAACCTTCACAAAGCAAGGTGTTTGTTCAGAATAAAAGCATTACAGAGAAGACTTCTTAAACAGTGAACAGTTTACATGTCGGGCTTGGCTTATCAGGCAGCCATCCATCTACCACATGGAGACTTTGATAGGAACAAAGTACTTCAGATCCTTTCCATAGGGTCTATCCCTCTTGCGGCTGCTGTGTCAGTTCATGGGTAAATCAGAGCGACCAACCCTAGCTCAGACTGATACAAATATCACTTTTTAAATTGATACAGTGCTCTCTGAACATTCCATGATTCTATTGCTCAGTTCATAGGTTGACAACTCCTGATAGTTCATTCACGTTTATGTGGTGACATCCCCCGGCACTGCATTGCTTGTCTGTTCAAAGAAAGAAATTAACTCCTTTGCAACCAGAGAGTAACACAACCAATTGAGAAGGGACTGAGTCACATTTTTAATGAAAAAACAAAGTATCCCAGTTCCGTACACCCACCTCATGCTCTTAGTATATTGTATGCATTAAAGATACATATCTGTTAGAACTTCTCTTTACACTTTCAGCTAGTACCTGTACTTCCAATAGTCCCAGGTGAAATGGAATGTCTTAATATGGCCTCTGAAGGGATATTGCTATGGTGTATTCTTGGTTCAGAGCGAGAAGCACGGTTAGGTCTTGGCACCGGCCAGCATCTTGGAATGCTGTTTTGGAAGAATAATCATTCTTGTGTGTTAGGTCAGAGCCATGAAAGTGATGGGGAGAAGGCCGGACCATCACAGACCAGCAGCAGTGCACATGCTAGTAAACCTGGGCTTTCAGTGGCAGCTCATGCTTTGTCCAGCCATCCTGAGAGTGGGAGCAACAAAGTGAATATTAGACATGGCAGCCAGGATGATGAAATCTCAATCCTGGATTTCTCTGACCTTAAAGGGGAGCATGAAGGAAGTATAATCCCTGTATTCGGCCTGGAGGACAGAGAGAAATCGGAAGATACTGCTTGTAACAGGTTTGCTGCAAGACCGAGTCATTGTGATGTACCTACTGGGAAGAGCAACCTCAAAGAAGGGGATGACCCCCCAGCAGTGGCACCAGGGGGGCAGGCTTCTCCAAGCCATCAAGCTCAGGAGGAGATGACAAAATTTCAGTTTACAGAGAGTGAGAGGGTCACATCTGCAACAAGTAAGAGAGTACTAGAGTTCTTAGAAACCAGCCATCGGGAAGACTCTGAGGCCATACAGAGCATGGAAACACAACTGAGGGGAATGGGGGTAGCCTCAGCTATCATCCATAAACAGCTGGAAGCAATAGTTAATCTCCTCAGCCAGCCTCCTAGGCCTGTCCCTGCACAGCCAGATAGCTCCTTCTCTGCCACACCCTGTGTAGAAAAGGTAGATGCTTCTACATACACTGGTGACAACTGCATGTGATCCGGAGGGTTAGTTGCTCTTTGGAGTCATAAGAGATGGCTCCTGCCTAGTGTAGCTCTCACTTGCAGAAGGTGGCAATGGAACAAGCCTAGGGAGGGAAGAAGAGAGCATGTGGGGCTTAATCTACATATGGTATCTTGTATCTCTTATAATACTCTACATGTTTTACTGGTCAAGATTTTAAAGAATAACCATCCTATGGGGGTAGTACTAAATAACGCTTGAGGGGAAGCAGCCATATGAGGCATTGTTTGACTAGGATTTTTGAATCTCCACCTGTTGTCTCTCTGTTATTTGATACAAAATGTGTTTTCTGGAGATTTTTGAAATTGTATCCTAACAATTAAACTTTGCTATTTATATGAGGGTGTGCATGTGGCTGGTTCAGTTATCCTTAAGTTCTCTTTGGATAAATCTGTGCCAGGTTGATTTGTCATCTTGGTCTGATGGCTATAGGTCATTTTTTCTTCTTGGATTTACGGTTTCACTGTGATTTATCAGCAAGAGAGGATGATCCACCATTTGCAGTAACTCTACACGATATGTCAATGGTATCTTCCTCCTGATTGCATTTTAGGTGCCTGAATCTCCATTTTCATAGAGGGAAATGCACTTTCTGAATCTTGCTTGACCACAGGAAGGTACTCCGCCACTGTTAGCAGAAACCATTAGCCCTTCCTTTCTCAAAAGAAGTTGCTGCATTTTGTGAACTGTGAGCCAGTCAAGTGGCAGCTGCAGGAAGGGGCTCCTTTTGTACAATTTGGCTTGGGCTGGATAGTGGAAGAGGGTCTACGTTTATTATGGATGTGGAGTGAGTGTGTGTGTAAACAATATGTTCATACCCTACTATTTGAGGTCATCAGGTGGTCTGTACAGGAAGACTTTGGGGAGGGATCAGGGAAGAGGATGTGTTTGAGTGGGAAAGGATTGTGTAAAGACAGAGGACTACATGTCTTGGGCGGGAGGTCCTCCATAGGTTTCAGTTACCTTCATAAGCATCCTTCCTTTGTCACTACATTTATAGTGCAGCTAATTTATAGAATGCTTGGCTGTGTTTAGGCAGTGGCTTGCATACTGATTGATCTGCCAACATTCTGAAAAAAAACATCAATATTTGGCATTCACTGCCCTAGTGGCATTGTGTATGCCTTGGTATGTGAGGGCACCTGAAATAAAACTTGCAGGCCAAAAAGAAACCAACTTCCTGCATTCAGCATTATATTGTTACACAGCTCCATTACAGAACAAATACTTCAAATATATATATTTTTTTAAATCCAGGAACCAACTGACATACTCATAGGAGCCAAATGATTTGAAAACCAATAGCTTTCTGTAAAGCTATTTTACAATTTCACCATATTAGCCCAGTAGGTTATTAAAGAAAAATCTTTTACTAAGCCAATTTGATCTTTCCTCATAACTACCAGTCTGTAAAATGTAAGGGCCTAATTGAGTTTTGATTGAAGTCAGGCTTCTGCCATTGACTTCAGTAAGAGAAAGGGAAGATATGAAAATTGAAGAGTATGGCAACCAAATCTGGTCAAAATTCAGAATTTCCATTTTGTGGGAAATTTTGACACTACAAATCTTGTTCCCCTGATTCGTAATGAAAACACTTTGAAAAACTCCCACCATGAAAATTTTAAAAGAGAACTTTTAAAAAAAATGTATACCAAAACTTTTTAGATTTTTTTTTTTTATCAATTTAAAATAAAAATTTTTTGAAACAACGATTTGGAATTTTTTAAATCTTTCTCAAGACTCTCTCTTTTCTGAATACTCTCCAATTCTTCAACATCCTTCCTGAATTGTGGACAGGAGAACTGAACAAGGAATTCCAGTGCCAGTTCTGCCAATGCTAAACAGAGGTAATAACCTCTCTTCTACTTAAGATTCACCTGTTTATACATCCAAGGATTGCATTAGCCCTTTTGGCCACAGTGTCTCACTGGGATATAATGTTCAGCTGATTATCCATTATGCTCTCCTAGTCATTTTCACAATTGGTGCTTACCAGAATAGTCCCCTATCTTGGAAATATGACGTACATTCTTTGTTCTTAAATGATAACTGTTTACCTATAACAATTGGTCATGTCAAAATGGCTACTATTTGCTTGCACCCAGCTTACCAAGCAATCACGATCACTCCCCATCAGTAACCCTCTTTATTATTTATGCTCCTCCAGTCTTTAGAATCTGCAAACTCTTGCAGTAATAACTTGGGGCTTCATTCAAAGGAATTCAGGGCATTGGAATGCTGAGCATTTGCAATGCTCAACTTTTAGGGGCCTACACAATCACAGGAACACCACTGCAATCCACAAAGAGGGGCGCCAGAACGGGGGGTGGGCAGGAGGTCATGGCCCCATCACTTTTTACTGGCCGTAGGGGTGAGCAATGGGTGAGGGGGCAGAGAGGAGTGAGTGGGGGATGGGGGTCTCGGGCGGGAGGAGGGGGAAGGGATGGAAGGAGGGGGGGGGGCTCAGGGGGAAGGGTGGCATGGGGGGTGGGACTACAGTTCAGGTGCCAATAGCCCCCACACACTTTTAGGCTTTGTGGACAGGAGTAGCAGAAGCTTCCTAAGTTAAGCATCTAGGCTCCCTATGCAATGAAGCGGCAGAGCTAAGCACCTTACAATTCAGTTCATAGGAGCCAGTGCATTAGGTGGGGAGCCACCTAAGTTAGTCAAATAGGAGATGTGGGTAACAGAGGTATGTGTCATATGCCACATCCCTCTAATAGAGATAAATGCCTATCTCTGCTAGTGATCCACGACTGAGTGCCCCTGTCCTGGAATCAGGTGGCTTAGATAGCTGAGTTGTTTCTAGGTTGAGTGATGGGAGAGTGGACCCTGTATGCTTTACCCCCAACTCTGCCAGCTGGCTGCCCTACTTGCCAGGCTCCAGAGTCATTCTCTCTCTCTTTCTCTCTGCCCCAATGACTCTAAGTATTTATCCACAGTGGAACAGCTTCAACTAGTCACACTGGACATATCAATGGCACGGCCAAGGACTAATTATTTGTCCTAATTTGCTGAAATTTCCCAACCTCTCCTTATTTTTTCCCTTCCCACTGTACAGTTAGTAAAATTCCTGCCACTCTTCCTAGCACAGGTACACTACACACATCTCTATAGAGAAACATTAATAAAGATTTCATAGAGGTGTCTCTCTTAAAACGTTTCCAAGGCCAGCAGTCGAGGAGCTCTCTCCTACAGATGATCATGTAACATGTGAAATGTTACTCCTATATTGTATGTATTATCAAAAAATGTGTTAACTACTTATGCTAAGCAATTTTGTTCCACCTTGTATTTAGCTGTGACACTGAGTATATTTCCCAGAGCTGAAGCAGAGCTCTGTGTAGCTCGAAAGCTTGTTTCTCCCACCACCAAAAGCTGGTCCAATAAAAGATAGTACCTCACCCACCTCGTCTTTCAGTGGCATTTAGCCCCACAGTTCCACACTATAGTACTCTTGAACACCTTGTAAATCACTTGGACGCTCTATCAAGGTGGCATGCTTCAGCACTCAAGCACAGGAAATGCCAAAGTAGAGGCTGTCCATTCAATTCTAACCCTTGTGCGTAGCAGGCATTACAAAGTGATAGTTTTAGATTGCATACTAAGTAATATAGCTCTTCCACAACCTCTGGTCTACCTGTCAAACGCTCTTTCTATCACTCACGTGTATGAAATATACACAATAACCATTATTGTGTAACGTTACAGCAAACAAATGTAACCAAACTCTCTGACTTGCAAATGCAGTTGGCATATAGCTCTTTTCATAGTTCGCTCCTCACTTGTACTTCAGAAGCAGCTGTCAGATTTTAAAGCGGAAGAAATAAATTATATGATATATGGGTAATGATTAAATACACAGGTAAGAAATCTGAAGATAAACTGGACATTTCTGTGAACATAGTTAAACATAAATATACATGACTGGAAAAAGTTGCAACTCTGTCAGGTTTAGAGAGGAGGGTTAAATGCTATGTGATCATGTATGTAAGGTTGTACCATACTGCATCTATGTAAAGAAGACGCAGTTAAATCTGTAAAAGTGAGCTTAATTTTGTCATGGCCTGATTTTTAAGTGCACTCTTTACATTCTGATCATGACTTTGCAAATGTAGCCTATATTCTGTGCATTAATACACTGCCAACTCCAAGAAACCCAGCCTTCCAAAGAAAGCTGCACTTCAAGCTGAAAGCCAAGACAAAACTCAGAGGGGCACCTGGAAGAGTTGAGCAGGGTGAAGGAGTGTCATCCCATGGATAAGCTAGGACACTGCACTATAATTCAGGGATCTGAATTGCTATTCCTAGTCCTGGCACTAACTCATTATGTGACTCGGGGCAAGTTATTTCAATGCTCTGTGCCTCCATTTCCCATCTGTATAATGGGAATGATGACGCTTATGAAGTACTTTGAAAGCTCTTGCTGTGCTTATACTCAGTAACTAACACAATGGGGCTCAGTCTCAGGTGGGGCCTCTAGGTGCTACTGGGCTGCAATTGTGAACTTCCCAGCAGGGGCACAATCACGACAGGAGTTTGTATAATGTAACTCTGCTCCATAAAAATCCCACGTGCCGAAAGCTGTGCCAGATGCAACTCCTATACTTGATCTAGCTGTTCTTAAATTCCTAGTTTCTGTAATAATCAACAAGAAAATATAGGAACCCCTCAGAATTTATGAATGCATAAATTGCCTTTAATAACTCCCCTGGCCATAAGAAAAAATAATCAAAGTTACCAATGATCCCCTCCACAACACACACACCACCTTGCAAAAGAAGAGAGGAGAATAAATGTCATGACTAGGAAAAGAGATTGAGTTTAGGGTTGGACCTACGTGACCTGACACATGCTGACCTAATGTCAATTTTAGATGGATGAGTTATTGCCTAGTCTCCTGCATCTATACTAAGAATAAAGATTGGCTTGTATTAGGTAAGCCTAAACTAAATACAACTGCTTTCCCTAGCCAA